AAGAGATACCCTTCATATAGGAGTATTATACTGCAAAATTTGGTATCAATCCAAGTCCGTTTCGACACTTAACTAAAGGTCCAAAGTCGGAACCAAATCTGGAAATTTGTTAACAGTCTTGAAATATACCCAACTTTGAGCTACCATATCTTGGTGCTCGAAACTCCAATTCTCAATCCGCTTGTTCTGCCCTAAACCTTACTTGTACCTCTAATTGAGCTACAAATTTCAAGGGCTGGTTTGCAACGAGTGAATTCTGCTGAATTTTCAAAGTTAACGAAAAACCAACCCCGGCTCAATCCTGGGTGATTTGGAACAGCAACTTTAAGCTCATTTTTGAACACCTTCCACTTAGATTCATGGAAAAGTGTCTTCTAAGAACTTTTAGTACTTTGGAAGATATTTCCAACGGTACCAAGTTTTCCAATTTTCGACATGTGGAATCTGAGATACGATTTTTTCAAAATATCGTATCAAAACTGAAATTTTCTGAATTTCAAGGAAATGGAGTTTTTCAAGTATTCCTTATTCCTTCGATAATACTTGAACGTTTATGCTTGGTTTCCAAGATAACAAAACTCGATTGCTCTTGTACATTAAGAAACTCCACTTGAATCTCGATTTACTAGTAATTGAGATTCATTTTCATGAATTTTCCCCAGATTGTACTAGTGCACAATCTTCCTTGATAATTGGGATGTGTGAATGATAATTCACTATTAAATGCTCAAGCGCTCAAGAGGACCTTCCAGAGGATCTCACGGGAGACGCCTAAACCATCATTTGAACTCGCTACTTGAATCACTGTGAGTGTCAAGTGCATGAACTTGTTGTTATTTCTTATTCGTTATGTAAATTTGAAATTTTGAGACGAGGGTGTACTTTATCGCACTCGTTCTCTTTCAAATGAAATTATATTCGAATTTTGCTATGTGAATTCGTATCCAACTTGTACATGGTAATGTGGATGTGATTTGTACTTGTGATTCGTATATGTGATCCGTATTTGTGATTCCTATTTGGAATCGTCGATTTGAGCGTTGCTCATCGACTTATATTCGTATTCGTATTCGTATTCATATTCGGGGGACGCCCAAAACTCGTTGGCTAACTTTGCGAATCGAGCCAGCATGGGCTTGGTCGATAAGCTTAGCAAACCATGAGATATTCGTAGAGCATGATCTATTGGAGAGATCTTGCTCGGCATTACTCGTGCAGTATTGCCATGATATACTCGAGTATTATCAAAAATTTTGATGAGCGGGCCCGGTAAGGGGGTGTAACGGTGACGGGATTCGAAGAAAAGTGGTGTATCTACGGATTTGATACTTATGTGGTTGACGGAGTGTCAACGTGAGATGTGATCAAGACTTCGACTCGACTATGTGGAATTTAGCTCCTGAGAGCTACAGTATCCTTGAATTGTTTCTGTTTATTTTTCCTATTCGAAATGTGAATTATTCGAATTTGATAGCCTTACCTACAATGTAATTGTTGTCGCTACTTGGATTATGTGTTTGCATGTGTGTTTTCTTGGCTTCACTGAGTATTGGCTCATTCTATTAGTTTGTTTTCCTTAACAGGTTGGATTGGAAGATTTTGGTAAAGCCGACTAGATTATACTTTTGATTGGAATCGGGGCTATAAATGTGTAGTCGACTTTTAATGGTTGCATTTTGGAACTTGATGTATCTTTTGTGAACATGATGTAAGATTTAAATATTTAGTTAAGGAAGCGACTTTTCTTTATTTTGACTCGTAGTATTTGGTATGTATCGTTAAGTTCGATTTGATTTGTCTTGAGTCCTGGCGAGAGTTGGGCAGGCGTCCCGCGGATACCCTTAGGTTCGCCCTTGGGAGAAGTGGGGGGCGTCACATGCTATTTGCACTACAATCATGATATGCCAGTATAAAATATTTTATGAAATTTTATAGAACTTAAGGATCGTATTTTTCCTATATTAATTCACATATTATTTCATCTTAAAAGCCCTACACATAACTACTTAAATTTCAAGGGACTATAATGATCAAAACTTCAAACATTAGCGACTAGAAATACAAATTCAAAACTTTTGACTAACGCCAATTAGCTGATCATTAGTTATGATTATTTTTCATTGGTTATTTAGTTGTCCTAAAAAAAATCCTAAATTAACAAATTTTAAGGATTAGATTTTTGGTGATGGAAACATTGGGGACTAATTTGGCACACAAGCCAAACACTTGGGACCAAAATTGCATTTCTCCCTGTTGAACATATATTATAAGCATATTGTACATGTTCAAAATGTTGTCAAGTAATTCTTAAAGTTTTAAAAAAAAACACGCTATAATCTCTTCCAGCAATTAGGTTTCATCAAATTTATAAAAGAGTATTTATCCACACAATGGTTTATTTAAATCTTCTCTCTAATGGTAGTTGGTTGATTCATTTAATTAACACTATGTACCTATGAAATTGCTTTTTGAAATAAAAAAATAGTGTTGTATTGAATAATTAAAATAAAACCAAAACTTTCTTTGACCTTGATCTAACATTATATTTGTTCTAAGCAACAAATAACAAATAATAAAGAAAATTTTGGCACTTACATAATTTCACCATTCTTTTAATTTCAACTTTTCTTTGATTTTTTCATCATTAACATAGTAGGATTTATTATTACTGTACTGATATTTTGACCATAAAATAAAATTTTAATACATCTCCAACAACATAAAAGTGTAATAGGATCATCTTAACCCAATTACCATAGTGAATGGCTATAATTAATTCAATGAACAAAGTTACTAAAATTATAATCTACTTCATAAACTAAAATTGGCTCCAAAAAAGGAACCTATTGATTTATGTTCATTTTGGATTTCAAACCTCTAATCATACCCAACATTTTCTCATTCTGAGGACAGAAAAATTAAGACTCTAATCTTGTAGTTAGCAATAAAAATTACTATTCTAGATCATTCATCAATAGTGAAAGATACCACAATTTGTTCATTAAGCAGAAAACCAAATTTTAGAAGCAATTTTTGAGAGAAATTTTTGACATAGACAAAAAGGCTTGGACGGTTACCGAAGGTTTTCTTTGTCCTCCTATCCCTTGTGGTTTGCGTGTGTGTGAATGAATGAACAAGCTAAGATCTGATAGAGAGATAATAATAATATAATAATCTAACTAATAATGCTAAGCAAATGTTCCTTTTGCCAATTAAATCCTTCAAAATTTCATTCTTTTTCAAAATAGTTGCCTACTATTTGAGGTTATTTTCGTCTTTGGGTTAAAAATCCAACTTTGCCCTTAAAAGTGTTAACATGGATTACAAACAGTGCATAACTATTGAAGGGTGATGCTGTAATAATTACATTTGAATTTTGTCATAGATTGGTAGAAAAAAGAGTTAATGAATCAGTACTCTTCTTCACAATAGCCAAAAAAGTAGAAGACACGAGCAGCGAAACCCTCTTCCTCTTTAATTGACAATTCCACAAAATTCTTTTTAGTTCCTACTATAGAATGCTTTTCTCACTTACTAATTGTCACAAATATTAGATGCTTTATTTTGGCTCAAAATTCAGGGGTTTCTGCCCAAAAAAATGACCCGCTATTTGATTTGCTTGATTTATACTGGATTTGATTTTGTAGCCATCCAATTTTTGCATAAAAACTGCCATTCCAAAATTTATATTGAGGAATTTGATATGATGGGAGGGGAGTTGGTAGTCATTTAGGTTGTTAGATTTAGTAGGAAAAAAAATAAAGGACGTATCAATATGAGGTTTATTGTTTTGTTTGAAAATCTTTTGTTTGGGCAGAAAAATGTAGTAGACAAAGAGGAGTGCCTTTTTTCGCCTATACATGCTTTGTTTGGTAAGAAAATTTCTTTTCTATTTTTTTTAAATTTGATTTTTTATACATAATAATAAGAATGAATAAGTAAAGAAGGTATACTGTTATTAATAATTTTATTGCTTTTTTAATTGACATTTTTAGTAAAGAAGAAAGAGTTTCAAACAAGAATTGGTTTCATCTACAAGTTAGTTTCTACTCTTTGCTAAATATGTAGTGATATGTATTAGAAAATATAAGATTTTTGGCTAAGTGTATTTGTCAATTTTTGTTATTGTATTTGTTCATTAGATGTTTGATTTGGGATGGATTGGACTGTGTACGTGGACTTTTAACTTGTGATTTTCTTTGTTACTTACTAGTTTGAAGTGTATATTGTGGTTTTATTAGTATGAAAGGAAAAAAAAGACAAATGAAAGGTTTCAGTTGATAGATGAGTTTTTTGATGAAACTTGTAGCAATCGAATTTGATTAAAAAAATGCTCTTATACATCAGGACAATGTATAGACCCAAGTGTAAGTTTTTTGATTTGGTGTTCTTGGTTCTCATCGTAAAGGATCCAAGCAATGAACTATGACACAAATCCTTGGAAGTTACTTCTAAGATACAATTTGTTTATAATCTTATGTTTGCTAGTCACCTATAAATTTATTTTTTCTTGTTGCTTGAATAATGAACAAAAAGTGGTTCGTTTGAGAAATTGGATCTTTCTAACTATAGTTGCTAAACAATTTTTATAGACAAATATGGATGGCCTCTATATGTTCGAATTATTTATGAACAATGCTTGATTTGGACAAGAGATGAAAAATTTTAAGTGCAAATAATCTTAGAACTCTCACAAATTTGATTTCATATATGATTTATTTAGTTCAGCATATTGACTAATAAGCACAATTATTGAACCCGACCCGGCCCGGCGGTCGAACCGGTGACCCGTCCATGAAACCGGGCCAATTTTCTAATTAGATCAGAGTTGCAAGGAACCCGCTTGGACCTATTTGACCTAAACGGTTTAACCAAGGAATCGCTAGAACCGGCAGTTATTGATAAACCCAGTGAGTTTTGGCAATTTTTTTGAAGTTACCGTTTTACCCAAATTTTTTATTTTGACCATTCACAACTGGGCATTATCCTTTTTTCGCTACATTTTTAGGCTTTTAGCCAATTAGAAGAGAAAAATCAGGAAAATTGAAGAGGGATTCGGGCATTCGGCCATTATTGAGGATTTAGGGATTTAGGGATTCGTACCTTCTTTGTTTCTCTGAGAAGTGACAACGAAGGTTTAACGCAAAGATTAGTTGCTGCTCCGATCATTTTCCATTGTTTTGTCAGCAGCTTTGATCAATTTTTCTTTCCTTTGCTTTGCTAGTTGCTGTGAGAATCTGAGGCAAGCAATTGGAAGTTCGAAGTTCCAAGTGGAACTCCAGAATTCCGCTTGAAGCTACCGCTGCCACCGAAGTTGCCATTGAAGCCTTGAAGCTTTGTTGTCGGTAAGCCAGTGAAGCCTTGCAGCTGGGCACACACCACGGCACCAATGAAGCAAGTAAGTAATACTCCAGCAGTCCAGCATCACTTGGTTTCTTCGTTTTTCATTTAGAATGGCTAAAAGCTTAATAAATTTAGTTATGAATGAATCTTTCTGTTGTTATGGATGTCCCTAATTGCTTGTCTCTTTCTGTTGTTATGGATGTCTGAGAATGGTTGTAGTTTAAAAAGCTTTGTTTCTGTTCATAGTGCGGGCTTCTGTACATGAAGCGCATTAAGATTTAAGAACAAGGAATGGTTATAGGAAGCACCAGTTTAGATGCTAGACAGCAGAAAGCAAAAATAAAACGAATATGTGGGAATCTACTGTGCTCTTAATTCATAATCAAGAACTCTTAAACCACCGATCCTTGTGTCCAACAAAATTTAGTGGCATATTCAGGAGCAGGCTTACTTTATTGGATTTAGTGGCTAAAATATGTCAGACCTCAATCATGAGCAAGCAAGACATACGTTGGAGAGCGTAAGCAAAGGTTATGCCATACCTCAATTATGGTTTCCACCAATGCCTCCTGCCTACCCCAAAAACCATTTATTATATGCTATAAATTCCTATCTACATGGTTAAATGCAGATGAATAAGAAAACAAATGGTGCCAAAAATGCATGAAACCATAAAGAAACAAAATGAAGCCATGAAGCATGATACTAGGAGTTTTCTTAAGTTCAATATACAATAGTCTATACTCAGCCACAAAACTCAAAAGGAGTGGTAGTATTCCTCCTGCCTACCCCAAAACCATTAGTTAACTGTGGCTAATTTTTGCTCTAGCTCTGTGGCTAATTTTTTTTTTTTTGCATTAGTTAACTCTAGCTCTTACAGTTTTTGCCTGCAGCTAATTTTTTTTAAAATAAAAGATATGTTTTATTACTTTTCAGATATTTGTAATGGACTCTATTTGAGCAACACCGTCTCAAACACCAAATACAAAACCCACACCTAGTACATCAAATTTTCAAAATCAACCTCTAACAAGGGGAAAGACGGACCCTGCATGGTCTCATTGTAGAGAAGATTCTGTGTCCAACAAAAAAGTTAAGTGCTTAGTATGCATTCATTGTGGAAAAAGAATTCGAGGAGATGGTATCAATCGATTCAAGCAGCACCTTGTAGGCGTAAAAGGGGAGACAACACCTTGTCCGAAGGTTGATGAACAGATTAGATTTGAAATGCTAGAAAACTTGAAAGTGGAAAGTAAGAAAAGAAGCTTGAAAGAACGCTCAAGGGGAAGTGATTTATATGGTCAAGATCTAAGACAACATGAAGAGGAGGTATACATGCAAGATACAGAAGATATTCAAGAGATTCAACCACCTCCCACTACTGAAGTTTCAAAAGGAAAAAAAGTTCTTCAACATCACAAAAAAGGAAAAACAATAGGGTCTTTTTTTATGCCAAGAGTTACTCCAGGAGGTCAACCATCCATCAAAAGTGTGATGCAAAGCAAAGAAGCTAAAGAGAAGGTTGACTTGGCAGTTGCGAAGTGGATGATTGATGCTTCCATCCCCTTTAATGCATCAACCTCTGCATATTATCAAACAATGTTTGATGCTGCTTGTTCTTTTGGAGCTGATTACAAAGCGCCTAATTTCTATGACTTGCGTGGCTATTTATTGACAAAAATGTTAAGCAAGTTAAGAATTTTGTTAATAGCTTTCATACAACTTGGAAAGAAACTGGATGTACTATTATGGCTGATGGATAGACTGACCAACAGAGGAGAACTCTCATCAACTTTCTAGCTTATTGCCCTAGAGGAACTATTTTTTTGAAATCAGTTGATGCCTCGGATGCTTCTAAGACTGCAGAGATGTTGTATAAGCTGTTTAGAGAAGTGGTTTTATTTGTTGGGGTGAAAAATGTGGTACACTTCGTCACTGACAATGCTGCCAATTATGTTGCTGCTGGAAGATTATTAGAAAGGGAATTTCCAACACTTTATTGGTCTTCATGTGCTGCTCATTGCCTAAATTTGATGTTGCATGATGTGGGCAAATTAGATGAGGTTAGTAAAGTGGTTGAACATGCTTCAAAAATAACAAAATACATTTATAATCATTGTTATCCATTGTATTTGATGAGAAAGCACACTGGTGGAAAAGAAATTATTCGGCCTGCTCCTACATGTTTTGCTACTAATTTTATTGCATTGCAAAGTATTTTAGTGCAAAAAGATGCTTTAATAGATATGGTGACTTCAAAAGAATGGACTCTTTCAGCATATGCTAAGGAGAGTAAAGCAAAAAAATTTGTGGATCTTATGCTAGATTCTATGTTTTGGAAAGAATGTGCTGCAATAGTTCAATTAACTGAGCCTCTTATTTGAGTTCTAAGAATTGTTGGTAGTGATGAAAGGCTGCTATGGGATACTTGTATGTTGCCATGCATAGAGCCAGAGAAGAGCTATTGAGAAGATTCTCAAGAAAAAAGAAAACTATTGATCCTTTCTTAAGAATAATTGATTTAAGATGGGATAGTCAGCTTCACAAAAATCTTCATGCTGTCGGTTATTGGCTTAATCCTGCTTATCAATATAATTCTCTGATTTGGAAAAGCATAGGCACGCAACATCAGGACTTTTGGATGTGATTGAGAGATATTCTTATGCAAATCCTGATTTGATGAGTAATTTGATCGGAGAGATGAGATTATTTTGTAAAGCTGAAGGTGATTTTGGTAGAGTTTCTGCTATACAAGATCATGATGTCATGCTTCCAGGTACCCAAAAATTAACTTCATTTTTATTGATGATTTGATTTTAATTGTAAAATACTATAATCAGACTTTTTTTTCTTTATTTATTGCAATAGATGAATGGTGGACATGTTATGGTAGCACTGCACCTAATTTGCAAAAACTAGCTATACGTGTTCTAAGCCAAACTTGCAGTGCTTCTGGCTGTGAAAGGAATTGGAATTTATTTGAGCATATCCACTCAAAGAAGAGAAATAGATTGGAACATCAAAGACTAAATGATTTGGTTTATGTACACTACAATTTAAGATTAAATCAAAGGTAGATTACATTTTGCAATCTGATTTTTGTTTTAATATGATGACATTTGTTATTTAACTAGTTTTAATGTTTTGTATTATTAGAAATGCAAGGGGTAGAAATTATGATCCTATTGATTTTGAGGACTTCAGCGCCAATGAAACTTGGATTTTGGATGATGAACCTTCACAGTTAACTTCAGCTGAATTAGAAAGTTTTAGGAATGAAATAGCTACATTTGCTATCAGCCGACAAAGTGGTGAGTTATTCTATTTGAGTCATATGCTTGCTTATTCTTTGTTTTTCGTTTTTGGCTAAATATTATCTAAATTTAGTGAATGATTCATTGATTTTTGTACTTATGTAGATGAAACTCTAAATTTGGATGATTTGGACACTGGAGATGAAGATGAGACCAATAATGAAGAGAATGTTGAAATAAATGATCTTAACACCGGCTGTGATGTAAACGAACTTGGTGGTACTGAATTTGGCAGAAGTTGGGAACCATGGGCATAAATAATAGATGGAGTGAACTACTCAAGTGATAATTGTGGTGTTGTTTATGTTTATGACTTTGTGCTTGGTTGTATTGAATTGGTAGTTTATGACTTATGTTTTATGGTTTGATACTTAGATTTATCATTTATATTTGTGTGTAATTTACTGATTTTAGTTTGAATTCATGAATTGTGGATCACATATGGTTATGGATTATGTGTGTGAAATGAACTATAAAGTATGAACTACGAACAGGTTATAATTGTTAAGATTTAAGAATTTCTGCACATATATTATAATTTACATGTTTATTTAATTATATTATATATATTTTATTATATATTGTGACCCGACGGTTCAACCACTGACCCGTCAACCCGGTCCTTTTGCCGGGTTGATGTCCGAGTTGGTTTTAATTACTATGCTAATAAGTCATTTTTAATGTGGTGGCTGTTGTTTTATAGATATTATTTCTTGTAAGCTTTGTTAAATCCTATTTATCATTCTAATTTAGTAATTTGAATTTTAGGAATTTTCAAAGTAAGTTTGCTTTTTACTCAATATATGTTAAAGAAACGATTTAATGGCCCCTTTCTTTTTTCAACCAAATTGCTGACTTTTAAATTGTTGATCTTTACGAATATTTACCTAATTATTTAACTCAAATGTACTTCTCATTTTGATGCTGTACTTATTTTATAATATGGCATATTAATTTTATAAAGTTCACTAGATTTTTAGTACAAATGATTTGTGTTTTGAAAGGTGTTCTCGGGGTGAGCTCCGAGGTGGGGCATTCCAATACTACCCCTGGGTAGTCACATAAGGCGAAAGTGTTATGGGGCATACACCCAAGATATCAGGGTGTACGCCCGAACATTTGGGCACGCCTCTGAAGTGAGGCGTTAAAAGCATACACCTCACAAATTTTCTTAAAAAAAAAAAAGAAAAAATGAATTAACTATTATTTGCTATTACTAGATATCATAAAAAAATTTAATTCCTCTGGTTCCTTCCTCTTTACAACGAAACAAAATTTCCCAATTCTAAAACCCTATTCCTCCTCTCTAAAAATCTCCAATTTCTCCATTCAACACCATCAATAATTTCATACCTTCATTTTTGTGCCTTCAACAAGATCACAAGTTTACAATTCACCAAATTCCTCACAAATTCTAAATCCAAAGATCATCAACATACTATTGAGGTAATTTTCTCCCTTTTTTTGTACAAGTTGAAAGTGCTATAAAAGCAAAAGGGTTATTTGCTTCTTGATGCCTTTGTTGTTGCTGTGTGAAAGTCCATTTTATCATATTTGTTTTTTAGCACATTTTATTAGATTTTTGTGAGTGAGAAAGAGAGATTCTTTGGTGTTTCCTAGCCATATTTGTTGGCTGTAAGAGCTAAATTTATAGGTACTCAAATGAACTTAAGTTTTCCCTTTCTTTTTTGTTTTTGCTTTCAATGATAACATGTTCTGTATCTTTTACTCACCATATGGAAAATGCAGCCACTGAAATTTCAACATTCTTTGAATATCCAGTAACAAGGGTCATTGCTGTCAAATACTTGTGAATGGCTAGATTATAGTAGGATTAACAATGGTCATTGCTATCGAGTTTTGCTTCTTTAGTGAATAACTTTATATGGATGTAACATACTATGAACTTTATATGGTTAGGAAAATTCTCTCACTACTTTTTTAAAATTGCTCTAATAACAGAAAAGATTAAGTTAGAAATTGCAGATTTCTTTTGCCAATTCAAGAGCTATGATATATAGTTATATAATACTCTCAATTAAGAGAGTAAGTGACTATACCTCTGTTAGCATGTGTTTTTTAACTCTAAAAATTTTTAATTGATATATCAATTAAAGCTTTTCTTTTTCCTTTTATTTCTGATTTTCTAGACAAGGTTGGATGTGAAAAAAGAAGAGGGAATGAAAATATTGGAGATGGCTAAATTTGAATGCTCAGCATAAGTAGGCCTGTCAACAAGTCGGGTCCGGGTCGAAATTCATTATTCCGGACCCAGCATACTATATCGGATCCAGATCCGATCCGGGTCTTCTATCCATGTTCCGGATCCGAATCTGAGTTGGGTTTACCCCAAAAAATCTATCAAAACTTACAATTTCTAACAAAAATGAGAAAAAAATATATTTGTAAACTAATTTCTAACTAATACAAAAAAAACCAAATAAGAAAAGAAATCAAATTGACCTTACTCAAATATATCACCCTAATCAGATTATATTGATAACTATATATTTTTTAAATTATTAATTCATGTATATCCGAAAGGATGCAACGGCGACGGTGGTGATGGCAATGGAAGCAGCAGCAAAGGTAAAAGCGGGAGGCACAATTCAATATAGACAGGAAACGAAAGAAAGGAGACCAAAATATAAATCAATCTGTAAATTTCACCCATTTGATGTTGCAGCAGAGGGAGGAAAAGAGGGAGGAAAGGCTTCGAAGGGTTACGGCAAAGGTGTTGGGACAAGAAGGAGGCGGCGGCAGCAGAGAACATTAGAGCAGATGGCAATTTCCTTATGAAGAGAGAGAAAGAAGCCAGCCTTAATTTTTTTTAATCCAGCTTTATTGTAGACCCGTTTTTGAGTTTTTACCCATTTAAAGTCCGTGTGTTGACCCTAATGAGAATCTAGCCGCGAAATTGGAATTGAAATTCTTTGGTCTAGCTAAAGAATTGGAACCATGGAATTCGATCAATATGAAATTGCAATTCGATTCTATAGCTAAAGAATTGGAACCATGGAATTCTAAACTCCAATTCCACTGGGAACCAAACATACACTAAAAATAATTCAACCTTATAAAGAAATGGTAAATGTAATCTAATTTGGGTCATTGAACACATTTAAAGCAATACCAAATCCATAAAAAAAAAAGCTCAAAATTCACACAAAGTTCCACGTGTCAGGGATTGCTACAAGAATTATGGCCTTTTGTTTATCTTATTTATCTTAGAGTATAAGATGATAGTACCATGCTAGGCGGTAAAGCGCCTAATCCCCAAAATTAAAAATAACCCCACTCCCAATTTTCTGTTTTATGACAACTATCGATCAATTGATGATGACGATATGAGATCTTGATCAAGTTCCAGGATCTTTTTACCTCCTTCCGAGTTACTAATCAAAGTCTTGATGGATGTTAATGTGATATTATCGTTTAAAATTTGACTTCTAATTGCTCTCCTGGTTGGTTATCTTACTAGGGTTTTGTTGCAGTTGTATTGTTGTTAGTAGCATTCTAGTTGGCTGAATAGTTTCTTCCGTTAATAGTAATTCATGCTCTCTGGTTGTGATTGCCCAAATAGGTTGAACCGGTAATCCTTGACGCTGCCATTTTTCGCTTTCAACTGTCCTGAAGTATCTCAAGGGTTCTTCTGCTTTTTCTGACTGTAAAGCACGTGTGGAAGTCCTCTTTCCTGGTGAAGTTAGTCTATTGCTTGTAATTTCCACGTAAAATCCACTGCCTTATTCTTTTCACTGCTTATGATCACTAATGAGAGATGGGTTTTGGGTGAAACACTTCACAAGTATGTGGGTTTTGATTTTTTGATTTGGCTGTTTTCCATTTAAGTGTATGATGATGGTTCAATATACATTGTTGTTTGCCATTTCTTGGTTGAGGGCTATGGCAAGCGGTCTCTTTCTTTGGTTAAACTGTGCTGGTGTGGTCATTGTGCAAAGTGATGTCTTAGATTGTGGGATGGAGTTGTGTGTATTTTAGGAAAAACATATATGAAGAAAAATAATGGCAGGGTAGCTAGTTCCCACTCTCCATGCATCTACGAGCTTACTGCTTAGAAGTAGCTTAGTAATTTAGCTAACAAAAACATGCCCTTGGTGAGGTTGGTAGGGCGGAGCTGTGGACAGATTTTTGCATGTCATAAGAAGGTGAGCGTAGAGCTGAAGGTAATTGGTTGGACATTTTGGTTTATAGCTTGTACAACTCTCCAAAATCGCTTCACCTTTGGCATGGCGATATTGGGTGATTTTGTTAGTTTTTCCCTTTGTACATGATAATTGATTGGATTTGTGCTTATTTACTTCAAATTTGTGCTTGAATAGGCTTTCAACTAGGTTGGGTTTTAGTTCTCTGACTCTCTTGTTGGTCTATTTAGATATCGTTACTGTTCATTTTCCTTTCTATCACATTTCCTGAATATTTGGTTGTCCATAATGGTTTTGATTAGCACATTTCAGTACTTTGTTTTTAAATAATCATATCCCAGTTCTATTCAGTATTGGTAACAAAAAATCATACAGATATTTTTTTTCATTTGTTAATGGCGTAAATGCAACAAAAAAAAAATGTTCGCAAGCATAACTCTTTGAGATGTGTAAGCTGCCAAGGATGGGAAAAAAAATCTACTACATGGTTTTCGGTGCATTAGCATAAAATTGACTGCAACAATGATTGCTTTGCTTTTGGGTGGCCACTGGAGGGAATGTTATACTTGCTCTTCATTTTCATGTTGAGATGTGATTAATAGTTTGTTTTATGTGATTTGTTTATTTTAAATATCACTGCCGTCTTTGATCAAATCCATTCTTTACAACTTGAATTCTGAGATTCTTTTCATGCTTTAGTTGTTAGGAGGTCCTAGTCCCGAGGAATGATATATAAGTCAATTTTTTTTGTTTCGTACCAGTCAATTAGATTGGGCTATAAGTTCAATTTTTCAATTACTTTTGAGCAGCTTTATTTGCCCAAGTTTCAAATGTATTTCGAACATTTAAGATGAAAATTTCTTGCTCGACTGTCTGTCATAATGTAGAAAATACATTTAATATTCTTAAATGTTGAAGTTAGCAACAAATTTATTTGTTGAAAATCTGTTTACTTGTTAGGTGATTGATAGTTTTTATCCCCTAGATAACTTTAGCTATTCTGAATCCTGGATCAGCATATTGTTAAAGTGCTTTGAGAACAATTTCTAGATTTATTTCTTTCCTTATACTTTGCCACTTTATGATTTAGTTGTACTAGATTATTATCATTTTTATAGCATTTCTGATATGAAATTACACTGGAAAACTTGGAACCTCGACTCCTTATAGTTATTTCCTCATAAAACAAGCAATATTTGGTTTACTATTTGTTCACGCCTATAACTAATTTAGTTGCTTTTGTGGTAGGTTAAGAAGCCCAGGTTATAGTTTTTTTTTTTTAAGTTTTGGGGAACGTAGAAAATTAGAAATTTGCACTGTTTGATGATTTGACGACAGCCACCTCTGAGATTGCATTTGCAGATTTTATGCTTCTATATCACTTGTTTCCTATGTTTGCATTTCCTTTGTTTGATTTTTGTAATTTGCATTTGCACTTCTGTTGGAATTTTGGGCCATGTTAAATGTATCATTGACATTTGATTAGTGTGACAAAGGAGAAGAATGGCTGACCCTGGCCGCAAACACAATTACCTGGTGACACATTATACAGGCCATGATGTGCTCCAGAAATATCAAATTTCGGTATATCAGCTGCTTGAAATGGCTGTTGACCACATTAAGAGAAATATGGGGAAATATTCAGAAGAATTTTCGGTAACACTCTGTGCCTACAATAAACAGGAAGGATACTTAATCATTACAATTATTCACTTTAACTTGTTTATTTTGCTATTTTTTGTTATTTATTCCATTAATTTTTACATCTTTTACAGGCGATAATGGGATCATGTAACTTGCCAGAGCCTACGAGTACAACCAATTACAAAGTGTGGCGCCGGTAAGTGTTCTAGGTAATCAACGTTGGTATATTTCTATGTATAATGTTAATTTGTTTTGTTTGTTAATCAAAAAGTATAAATGGGATAAGAATCAGGTTGGATTAATTAATTTTTTGAAGTTAATTAGGCAATTATTTAGTGAATTTATTGAGATAAGTGAAGTAAAACTGTTGGAAATTGATATGTTTTTACTTCCCTAAGATTTGTTTTTGGTTTCTAACATGCTTTTTATGATGAAGTTGGAGTTGGCTATTGAGCATGCCTCCGCATCAGGCACTGGATCACTTTTTCATGACATTGGAGGTTTGTCGATGCTAATACTACTTTTCATTATGAGTTCACCTGCAGCAAATTTATTCACAGAATATCATTTTACGGACAGGAAAAAGATCCAGATTGGGCTCATAAGCACAGGCATGAGAGGGAACAAATAGTTGTAATTAATTTTATTCCTTTTTTTCTTTTGCAGAGATCACTTACACTTTTTGTCTTTTGTTGTCTACTTTCGTTGACCCAGAGTTGTTGGTTTCGAAAAAATGCTATAGTTGGATCGGCACCTGAGCATGGAAGATCTTTGCCTGGGATGCAGTGAACATCTTCCAAAAATGAACTTTTATCTGAAGGCCTTGGTTTAGTTAGTATCCCACAGTTTGGTTCATTCTCTTCTTTGATGCGCCTTTCTTGTTTTTTAGCTTATTCTTTCTTCTATGCCTGTAAATAAGATTCTCATATTTTTTGTTACTAGTAAATCACTTGACCGTATTTAATTTTCAGGCTTACAATTTTTCTTTTTTTGGTTTTTGTTAGTCAAGTTAAGATGTTTTCTCGCATCTTTTTTAATCCTTTGTTAGGTTTCTTATTTTTTAATGAGTTCCTTACTTATTTGGTTCAGCAAATTGCAAAAGTTGGGTTAGATGCTCAGAATTTAAGTGTGTCAGAATGATTTGCACCTCATCTTTGTCTGGTATGATAAATGTCTTCTGTATGTTTTCTTATTTGAGTCAATTCTCTTTTCTAATGCTTCTTATCTCGTTTTATTTTTAACAATGCCAATAAATGAGGTTCTAGTCTATACTTTTCCAGTAAATGGTAGACAATAATGGTCAGCCTTACCTTTTTTTTAAAATTTTTGAATTTGATTTTTTGGCGCTTCTTATATTATACCACTGGTTATGGGACCAGTTGTTTGAAAATCACATATCCTATCTCAAGAATGTGCATTACTCTCTTCTTCTAGCCTCTCTCATGATGAAAGAAAGAGGATTATTGGATGGGGGAGTCTTGGAATTATTAGTACACTATGATATGGTATTCCTTCTTTCACTTCTGTCCTTCTCTATTACGCTTCTTTTGTTTTTAATTAATCTGCCCTTAATTTGATTCAGCAAAGCGGGAAATTGAAGTCAGGCACTGATAGAGGAGGTCCTGATAAAAAGACTATTCCTGTTGAAATTAGAAATTCATCAAGTACTAAGAATTTAGGATTGCTAGAAGGCTTTGCTACAGCTTCTTTGTCTGACCAATGGTTTGCACCTCCAGTATCTGGTCCTAGTCCGAGAGGCCGATATAAGGTGTTATTAATTATTGGTCATTGTTCATTACAGTGTACATGGTACGTTGCTTCTATATGCTGAAGGAAGTTATGTTGCATTTACAGCATGGGGTTGCTGTTATTGATGAGAAAATGTACATAAATGGTGGAGTTCATAATGGACGTCATCTAGATGGTCTCCAGATATGAGAAATATGCATTATTTATATGGTTCTCACTGGAAATGGAAATGGATCTTGAGGAGCTCTTTTTTACGGTGTTTTGTTTATTGTCGTGAGCTCTAAATGGTAATGAGTTCTTTAGAGTGATCTTCTAAATGGTTATGAGATCTCAGATCAAGGGTAGATCTAAGTATTGTCCAAATGGGCACATGCCCCGACTGGAGAAACTAAAATTACAAATTTAGGCACCGTATTTTCAAAAATATTTATTTTTGTCCTGCTAAATGATAAACATACCCATGCTGAGTAAAGGAAAATGTTTTTACTCAAAATAATTTGCTACACGTTAATTGTCATTTGTACCTATAAGTAATTGGAAACAATTCTTGTCAAAAAGTAAATGACAAAATGATTGCTAGATTTTAAGCCCAGTATTTTATGAAGTTCAATTAGCTAGTGAGTTTTTTGAATACCAAAATTTTGCATCTTAATCAGTTGTTGTCGGACAATAAACGGTTTATTGCGTACCATTGTTGTACTTCTTAAATATTTTTGTAACTAGTTTCTAGTTATTACATGGTTCATGAATGTTATTATTCTCCCCATCTATTCATCATAAATTTTTAAAAAAAGCTATTATTCTCCCATCTATATCTGATAAATCAAAACAAAATCCTTTAATGTGTGCCCATACTGAATGAAAATCTCGGGTTCAGCCACTCTCTCAGTTACATTCACCAGTCACCTCACTGTGTCAGATAATTCAGGTCTTGGATTTAAAAAGTTGGACTTGGACAAGGTTTGAAGTTAAAGTAGTCGCTGAAGTTAGTATTCAGATTTGTTTACTTTGGCTTTCATAAGATGCAGGCAAAGTTTGTCTTCAATTGTTTATGTGTTCGAGCAATTATCACACACATAGAGCTTAGCTCATGCTTCCTTGTCGTTAACTCATATTATTATGTGATGGCTTATTAACACGCGTGTCTCATAGCTTATGCCACCAAGTTGTGCTGTCTTTTCAGATAGCATGGGAAGGAAATAAGCTTTTGGCAGTAGGTCGCCATGTGAAAGATCCCTTGGGAATCATGCAAGGTTTGCTTCTAGGAATTACATCTTTCTCTATGATTGTCGGTGTCGATTTTTCTGTGTATTCAAAATTTGGTATTGATGCATTTTACCAAAATTTTCCAACTTTAGTTCTTTGATTCTGGAGAATTGTGTGAATGTTTTATGGAAAAAAGTTCTCTTGCAAATTATGATCATTGGGTTGAGGAGGGGTGGGGGGAAAAAGAAACTTGCATATCTTCTGGATTCTGTTTTTCTAAATTATGGAAAATAGAGATGCAAATTATCTCTACATGATGATGAAGATTATGGTTTAATGGGCACATTGATTGTGTCTGGATATAGGTAGCCTTTATTTTATTATCATCACTTTTTCCATTTTGTGCATTATCTGAAGTGCTATTCTGGGGGCTTTTGTTTGGGTCATAAAACAGTGAATTGGTGTGAGGTGTTAGATTTAAGCTTAGTTTCTGGTTTCCTTACAATACACATATAAAACTGGAGACATGAAGAGGTAAGAAAGCTGCGGATTTGATCACAAATTATAAATGAAGATTATATTTCATATGTGTTCGAGTGAAAATTAACCACCTTCCTCTCTGCTCCCCTTTTTTTGGTGGCTACTTTTTTCTCCTAATGTTAATTCAAAGTCATCAACTTAAAGGTGATATAGATTTATGCTTGATGTCTATTTGAGTTTTGCGCAAATGAATCTTTTAATGCTTTCTGAACGAAAACTCACGAGAGCCTAAGTTCAAATAGTTTGTGAGGGACTGTACATTTCGTAGATGCAATGATATTTAAAATATAAATTTTTGATATTTCAGTGTTTGGTCATTTTAACATTCCTTCCCTAGTTATTAAACAAAGGACCAATGTGGGAAACTAGGGCATTCCTTTCCTGATTGCTAAATGAACGAACTTTGTGGGGAACTATTGACTTCTCTTCCCTATTTGTAAAATGAAATAATTTTATGGAAAACTACTTCTATGTGATATGTGTATTGTTATTTGCAGTGAAGGTGTTTGATCTGCAAACTTGTAGCTGGTCAAACTTGAAGATTTATGGAATGCCACTGGTAGATGCTTCTCTCATATCACTCTATCTATATCACTTTCACTCTGATGTTAGGTTCTGATCGTGTTAAACAATGGAATTCTTGTCCTTAATTTATTAATAAGAATTGTTAGAATCATCATACTTAAAAGAGTTACGGAACAGTTCAAAAAGAATATGAACTTGAATTTAAACTATGGAGTAACTGCTTTTAGGATGCTTTATTTAACATCCTTTTGCGTGGAAAACAATATAGGCTTCCATTATTAAAGGATTCCATGAGTTTTGTTGTAGATAAGTGAGTTAAATTGACGCAAAAATTCATGAGCATATTTCAAAGGTATCATGTGAGAAGTGATAAAGAAGAAAGTAGAATTTTGATCCCATTTTGGTTGATGAAGTTGATTCTGATGATGAATGGATAACTGAAAAAGAAGATCCTATTTTTCCAGAAGAAGTTGATTGGCTTGATGATGGTGATTTATTTAGAGTTGATGCTGTCAGAACTGTGCCAATTAATGAGATTTATGAGAAAACATCCCCAGTTGACAATTCTAACAATGCTTTATCTCAGTTGATGCCATAGAATAGACAAAATAAACCGTGATGAAAGTCCAACTTCATCAAGTAATTTTTTAACTTTTTAATATTCAGATTTATTACTAATTTACTATCTATTATATTGAGACAGTGAGTTAATTTAATATGAATTTATTTAAAATATAATATATGGTTAGGCAAAAGCAAAGGTAAAGGAAAAGAGACCATTACCTGTAGATTGGATCCTGTTGAAGAAAATGAAGATATTCACGATCCATTATTGTTTTGTAATTTAGGAGAATCTCTTTGAGTTCTCAGGTAATTTGTATATTCACGATCCATGTCCTTGTAAAAATTCTCGAGTAAGAAAATCTGGTAAAGAATTATTTTCTCCTTTAATAAATTCAATTTCGAAATCGAACACAGATAAAATAGCTTGCCATCTCGCAAATATTTGTTTTGAAACTATATTTTGAACATCTTTTTGCAAAATCTCTTTTGCAGGTTTATAGTCTATTCTAATTAAAAATTTCTTATTGTATAAATCATCTTGAAATTTTGATATGCATAAAACTATGGATAAAATTTCTTTTTTAATTGTTGAATAATTTTTCTGAGGATCAGACCATGTTCCTGAATGAAATCTGACTAATTCTTCTTTTGAATAATCTATTCTTTGTTTTAATATTCCTCCATATCCTAATTCTGATGCATCTGTTTCAACAATCATGAATGTTTTAGGATGAGGTAGACATAAACATGGTAATGACGATGGTGATTTATTTAGAGTTGATGCTGTCAGAACTGTGCCAATTAATGAGATTTATGAGAAAACATCCCCAGTTGACAATTCTAACAATGCTTTATCTCAGTTGATGCCATAGAATAGACAAAATAAACCGTGATGAAAGTCCAACTTCATCAAGTAATTTTTTAACTTTTTAATATTCAGATTTATTACTAATTTACTATCTATTATATTGAGACAGTGAGTTAATTTAATATGAATTTATTTGAAATATAATATATGGTTAGGCAAAAGCAAAGGTAAAGGAAAAGAGACCATTACCTGTAGATTGGATCCTGTTGAAGAAAATGAAGATATTCACGATCCATTATTGTTTTGTAATTTAGGAGAATCTCTTTGAGTTCTCAGGTAATTTGTATATTCACGATCCATGTTCTTGTAAAAATTCTCGAGAAAGAAAATCTGGTAAAGAATTATTTTCTCCTTTAATAAATTCAATTTCGAAATCGAACACAGATAAAATAGCTTGCCATCTCGCAAATATTTGTTTTGAAACAATATTTTGATCATCTTTTTGCAAAATCTCTTTTGCAGATTTATAGTATATTCTAATTAAAAATTTCTTATTGTATAAATCATCTTGAAATTTTGATATGCATAAAACTATGGATAAAATTTCTTTTTTAATTGTTGAATAAATTTTCTGAGGATCAGACCATGTTCCTGAATGAAATCTGACTAATTCTTCTTTTGAATCATCTATTCTTTGTTTTAATATTCCTCCATATCCTAATTCTGATGCATCTGTTTCAACAATCATGAATGCTTTAGGATGAGGTAGACATAAATATGGTAATGACGATGGTGATTTATTTAGAGTTGATGCTGTCAGAACTGTGCCAATTAATGAGATTTATGAGAAAACATCCCCAGTTGACAATTCTAACAATGCTTTATCTCAGTTGATGCCATAGAATAGACAAAATAAACCGTGATGAAAGTCCAACTTCATCAAGTAATTTTTTAACTTTTTAATATTCAGATTTATTACTAATTTACTATCTATTATATTGAGACAGTGAGTTAATTTAATATGAATTTATTTGAAATATAATATATGGTTAGGCAAAAGCAAAGGTAAAGGAAAAGAGACCATTACCTGTAGATTGGATCCTGTTGAAGAAAATGAAGATATGATAGAAATTTCGGAACCTCTGTCAACAATTGGAAGAAAATCACCTAGTGTTAGATGAAGATGAAGACATGGATGATATTGACTTTGATGAATAGTATCATTTTATTTGTCAGTTTGTTTCTAATTATTGGTGTTGTTCCTTGTTATGTATTATAAGCAATATGATTGTTAACTTGGTATTTATTTTTGATACAAGTTAAGTGTGTTTATTGAAACAATTAACATTTGAATTGTGTGTTTACTTGAATTTATATGTTTGTAATTTTAGTACTTGATAATGAGGTGACTGCTGAGTTGTGACTAGTTTGTTTTTAAAATTGAACTTTTTGTAATGTTAGTTATTCTACTACAACAATAATTCTTTATTTGTGTAAATTTTCTTAATTTTATCTAATTTTATTATAGTTATTTATATCTTTAAATGATCTTTTATGATATATATATCATATATATATTTAAAAAATAAAATTCGTGGGGCTTACGCCTCGTGCCTTAGGGCTTTTGCCCCGTCTGGGTAGACTCGCCTTTTA